TCTTGCACCCACTAACACACTCCAAACTAGAAAAATCACCGGCCACCGTCAACCACCCAATTTGTCGGAATTCATCTCCTAGCTAGGGGCCTCAGTCCATAAACACATCCCACACAATTAATTGAACAAACAACAATACAAGAAATCAAAAATCAAATTGAAAAGCTAAAGAGTTGCACGGCTTAACCTCTCAAACCGTCACCTATGGTCACACCCATGGTCGCGCCTCACTACCGGTAGTCATGCCCATCTAGGCGAGCATATTCATAGTAGAACATCATCAAATTATGGTCATATTACGATGGACTGATTGGGAATATTGGTGCTGAAAATGGTGATGAGGTACTGTTGGAGTGCCAAATTTCTTTTGTAGAAGGATTGCAAATTAATTGTGACGAATAACTGGAGTTGGGGAGGCGACGACAAGGCTGTGGTCATAGCTAAGGCCACGGTGCCAACGTTGGGAGATAGGTGACAGGATTTGGGCAAGAGGTGGGGTTTGTGCAGGAGACCCTTTTTTATTACTTTTCTTATTTTCTTAGGTTTTTTTTTATTTTACTTTATAATTTTTTAAATTTTTTTGTTTATTTTATTTAATATTATAATTTTAAACTTACTATTCTACCCTTTTGAAAATTGTCAAAATTAGTTAAAGTCCACTTTTCTTGGTCAACTAACAATTTTGTAGATGGTTTCTATCAAGTTGGATTTCATGTGCATATTTCTTAAAGGTTTGGGACATCCTGATTTTTAAAGGATCATCCTGATTAGATTATAATTTAAACACCCAAAATAAGAATTAAATTAAAATGAATATAATTGGTGAATCTTGATCCCCATTAAGATGAATTAAATTACTCAAACAGAGAGTTTTGATAGGGAAAGTTGAGATGACGTGACGAATTGTGATTCGCCTTTTTTTTTTTTTTTTTATTTCAATCTTCCAATGAATGCACGCCATATGTCAACATTTTCCGTCAAAATTCCCTATTTAAATAACATGATTTACATTAAGGCTCCGTTTGATTTGCCAAAATTTCCATGGAATTTGGAATTCGAATTCTTTCTACTTTTGACCTGTTTGATTGATAAAATTTTCCAGGGAATTCATTTTTCATGTAATTCTAGGTACAACACTTTAAAGCGTAATTTTCAACCATTTATTTTCCTAGGGGGTTGGTGGTTTTTGGTTTTCCATCTTTTTTTTTGTTTTTTTTTTAACTGTTGGCAATGAGAACAAATTCTAGGAATAATTGTAAAAGAGGATATACATGAAATTGACAATTTTTATGTAAAACAAAGCCAAACGAACACCAAAATATGGATGATTTTTCGATTTTTTTTGGGCAATGGAAACAAATTCTAGGAACAATGGTAGAAGTGGATATCCCTTAAATTGACAATTTTCATGTAAAATAAAGCCAAACGAACACAAAAAACACTTTTACTTCAACATTTTTCACGTGAAAAATTATACCAATCAAACACAATAATTTACAATTCTCAGGAAAATAATTTCTAGGTAATTAATTCCCTGAAATTCATTTTCTTTCTACTCAAATTTCATCTTCGCAATCAAACAGACCTTAAGATAATTAGGCGGGAGAAGATCAAGGACAAAATCACACGTTACACGGATTATTGGATTCATGGCCGCCCTCAACCGTCGGCCTTGACACGTTGAAAGGGGATTAAGAAACAAATAAAATCAAGCCAACGTGGAAAAAAAAGTATAAAAATAGGATTATTTAAATTATTAAAAATTATGTATGCCTACGAAGAGTGCCTCCATGGTTCATTCTCCCTACACCCTAGTGGGTCAAAGTCAAACAAGTTGGCCTAGGTTTGTTTTTCCAAGTTGTTGGATGATCTGTCCCCACTAAGGCACTAACCAACTTGACAGTTGCTTCCAAATATTTTTATGTGCGTTTTTTTTTTTTTTATATCCAAGTATCCCAACTTACACCAGATTAAATTCTGGACCTTCAAGATCCATGCCCCTAAAACCTTGGAGGGGGTAAATCGCGGGTTATGCCTCAACTGGATCACAGGTTCCCCCCATTGACTGTACACTTTTGCGCACAAGAGACCCTCCTCCACAATGATTGCTCCATACCAAATATTTGGCGACAGATTCCTATCAGGAATCGAACTCTCCACCCTGCCGCTGGAAGCAAGCCAATGTTGATTGATCCACCAGTTGAGCTGTGCCCCGAGGGGCTTTATGTGCGTTATTATTATTGTTAAAGTTACATTTTTACATATAATTTATGCGTATATGCATGCAATTATTCATAATACTATGGACACGGAGCGTGCATGACTGATTTGCATAGTCCTTGCAATATTATGTATTTTCATGAACGAAACGGATAAAGTCCGATCCACAAGGATGGACGAGTAATAAACTATGTCATGCGTGATTGACAGAAGCTAATTTCGAATTAATAAATCTCCAAGATTAAAATAGCTAAAACCCGCACTTGAGAAGTTTGGGGTTCTAGAACGATCAAGGTTTGGGGGCATTCCTATCTCGAGCAAGGATGAGGCCATGACAATGTTCTCAAAAGTGCACCTAGGTGCGAGGTGGGGTTACATGCTCCACCTTAGTTTATTAATTTATTTTTCATTTTATTTTTCTCTTTTTGAAAACTTTTATTTGATATTAGTTTCATATTTTTAAATGATTTTATTGGTACAAAAGTAAAAAATGAGTTTATCTAATAAAAATAAGAAAAAATTTAATTTATGGTGTTATCTAAATTATGTAATTAAGATTTTGAGACTTATCGTTTTGTTAAAAATTTCAAGTACGTATGAAGTTCCTATAAACCTATCAAGTAGCTCTGTCTAGTTGAATCTAATTTTTGCATTTCGAAAAATTGGAAATTGTATAATTGATTAAGCCCTTGTTTGTCAACTATTCTCCCACATTATTTTTTCTACAGTACTCATATTCAACCACACATTCTCCATTAAAATAATATTACACATATATAAAAAACTTTTCATTCTTTTTTAATCACACATTGCAACATCAATTACTATTCCATATTTCCATTTTTGAAAATAAAGGGCCACAAATAGGGCCTAATTGTAATAATTATTAAATAAATATAGTATTTTATAATTTTAGATTTTTGATAGTTATTATTTTAATTTTTAAATAATTTTTAGAATGATTAACAATTTTAAAAAATATTAAAAATAAGAAAAATACTTTTTACGCCTAAACTTGTGAAGCCTCAAACTTGGCCTCCAAGTTTAATAACACTTTTCGCTTTTTTTTAAGAGCATTGGGCCAAAACCATGGGTGAGGGGCTTGGTTTCAAGCTCTAGCTTCAGCAAGGGCCAAAATTCTCAAGTTATAACTCGGAGGTCGAGGAACGATTAAAACAGCCAAGCTCAATGGAATCACCCGACCATTTAAGAGTTGTAACTCAAGGAAGAGTCCCAATTATTCCTAATGAGACTCTCTTTGCCTCATCAAGGGACTATTGATCAAACAACTGGACATGTCCATAAATAGAGGAGAACTCATCCACAAGCTTTAGTTCATATAATATATTCTTCCCTTAATACACACTGTCTCGATCATTGGACTAAAAGTGGGGAATAACCGTTCCTTTTTTTATGTATAGAAACAAAAACACAACTTTGACAAAACTTTATATAGTGACTAGCATCATACCATCATACCATGTATGAAATTTTGATTAGACAATCCGATATATGATCGATGAATAAAATAAATAAAATCATATTCATGATTTTGTATAATATCTCCTAATATTCCGTGCCAAATTTTGTCATTAAATACATCAAACTTCGATTCGTGCCCTTTGAAAATTAAAGGAAAAAGATATGTAGGCCCTGCCCAAACAGGACGCTGTCGACGCTTTGAACGGACAGGGCCTCTCGAAAATTAAATATCTATAATTTTCTTTGAGCAAGTCCGTGATTACCATTTAAGTTTTGCATTATTACCGTGTAACTATACAATGGACCCAGTTGGTCCCACTTTAATTTCACACAATTCCCCCGTCGTACGCTCCGCCCATTCCGCTTTTCACACATTTATTATTCAACCTCCCATCTTCATTGTCTTGTTACACATTCACATACTCCATAAATATGACTGCTATCCAGAAAAGGAAGAAAAGGAAAACAAGGAAAGTTCAAAGTTTAATGTAATAAATTCTCTTATTAAATATAATCCTTTATTATATGAATTTCACCTAAATCACGGATCTTTCCATTTCTATTATGGTAAATTGACAATTAGTTATTGATTTGAGTATTTAGTTTCAATATTTACACAATACGTCTAAATCTTCTTGAAATTGTCAAATGATCTTCATAAAGAATATTGCACTTCAAATAATTAGACGCCAATTCAATTGAAAAGCCAAAAGTTAAACAGCTTCATAGAGTTGAATATGCAAGAAACAGATTACACTTAAAAATAGAAGTTTGAAGATTACAGATGAATTATATAACTATAATGTATTTGTCGTATTTAGACATTAATGACGGAAAAAATTATTTTATACATTCCCAAATCTTGTCTTTGTGTTAATTACTTAAATCGATAATTAATACACAAACAACCTTTGAGGAAATGATTTCGAAAACAAAACTTCTTTATATCCGTATGTATCAAACTCAACCCAAATCTTATTTTCTCTCAATCCCTATCAGTAATAAGGAATATAGCATTAAGCCCTGGTGGATAGATTTTATAATCTAGATTTTTATTAAAATCAAAATTAATAATTAATTTTAATAAATTTGTAACATCTAAATCATAGCTTTTATCAAAAATGCTAATAAACACGAATTTACCATATTCTGGTCAAAGCGGTCGTGGGGAAGAGTGTGGTGTAAACGCACGCAGATAAAATATTCTTATACAGTTGGTGGAATTATTTACAATATCATATTAGTGTGTGTGTATATATATATATCTATATATATATATATGGACATGTGCAAGCGGGCTTGGCTTTAAGCCTAAAAAATATGACAGAGGAATGAAAAGCAAGGGGGCAGAGCCGGCTACAGCTTCCTAACCATACAACCACTGCCAATTATCTGTAGATTCTACAAAGAAATAATAAAGGAAATTTCCCAATCTTGGTTATCTGTCATCAATTATTTTTTTTTTATTTTTTTCTGTCATTCTCTTCTTCAACTGGAAATCTTATCTCCATTTTTAGCTTATCAGTTGAATAAAGTCAATTAATATTGGGTATTTATTGTATTTAATGCACACATACTAATTCTTTGTGGGCATTTTTTTGTGGAATTGGGTTCAAGAACATGACAAGTTGATGATTTTGGAGTGCATCTAGTAATTTTGAAGAAAAGACTTTTGATTAAAAAAAAAAAATTGATCTTTGGGGGAGGTAAATGGGTTGCTTTCCTTGTTTTGATACAAGGGAGGAGGAAAAGCTAAATCCCCAAAAACAGAGAGATGGTCACAAGGAAGTTCAACCAAACATCCCATCCAACATAGCAAAATTGTCATCTGGTTAGTGACTTTTTATGAAATTTATGCAGTTGTACTTTGGATTTTTATTATTATTATTATTATTATTATTATTATTATTATTAAATGTTGTTTCTTTTTTTTTTTTTTAATCTGATCTGGGATTTTGTAAACGATCAGTCGATTCGATTCTGTTTTCCATATGGCTGTTATTGATTTTTGTTAAGAAGATTTATATGATAGCTTCTTGGATTCAACTAGTTGTGGACCCTATGAGGTTATGATGGATTTGATGAAAGAAACTTTGTTCTTCCTATCTATTTAATATTGAAATGAGAATTCTAGAGGACTATGATTGCTAAATTTGATCTGGTCGTGATATTCGAAGACTAATTTTCGACCCTTGAAAAAATTAATGCTCATATTTTCCTCTGCTGATATAATAAATGGAAGTCAGTGCTGCTAATTCTTTATAACAATTGATTAGACCAACTGTTTTCCTCTATTAATTATCAAGATGCAGTCATGCAGACTGTAAATAAGTTTATAAGATGCTGACTATAAGTAGGTATAAATTTGGGTCTTGCTTACTACTTCAGTGAAGCAATAATATCTTGTGCATCAGTAGGACTATTTAGATTTTTGTGTCTTTTTTATGGATCTCTGGTGGTTCATCATGGTGGAATTTGCAGGTGCAGACAGGGCCAAATTAAGAAGCAATGTCGGGAAAAGGAAAGAACCATCGGGACCCGTAGACGCACCTGTTGTTCAAATTGCTGCACAGACATTTACTTTCCGCGAGCTCGCTGCTGCTACAAATAACTTTAGGCCAGAGTGTTTCTTAGGGGAAGGAGGATTTGGACGTGTCTACAAAGGGCAGCTTCCGAATGGTCAGGTAAAATTTCCTTAACTTTACTGAAAATTTGCGGATGTGAGATATGATCGTTTGATCTTCAGTTTAAACTGGGAATTTTTTCCACCAATGTAGTTGTTAATATGTGCAAGACTTATGAATCACATTGGCTTTGCTTGAAAATTACTGGTCTGCCGGTGGCAAGCACATCTTTAAGAATATTGCAACCATAGGTCCATTGTTAGAAAATGATAAATGATTACTTTGATAGTGTGGTTCGTGGCCCTAGGTACCACTGTTAACCGCTCAGTTTAGTACCATTTTCTAAGAAAATTATTAGACTTAGTTTGTTGTAGCATGTTGTATGTATATTTTATGTAAATGTTCGAGTGCACTCTAGCTTATGTGTATATGTATATTCAAACAATTTTAAATGAATAGTTGATGAATTAACTGAAAACTGACATGTTCAATTTTTTCTATAATTTGATTTATTTGATCCCTTTAGTCATAGAACCTGGTCAAGTAACTTGAGTAGTTCTGTTATATAAGATATTAGGATATAGAAGTTACTACTTGGACAGCAAAGGCCTCTGTCCTTCCATCCCTTGGATGGATAGAGAGGGAGGGCCGTCTTCATCAATTTATATGATTTGAAATGATTAGCAAATGCTTAATTTGAGTCTTCTAAGTTATATAAACATTTTTGTCCGTTTTGGTAGGTCGTTGCTGTTAAGCAGTTAGATAGGAATGGGCTTCAGGGTAATCGAGAATTTTTGGTGGAGGTTCTTATGCTTAGCCTGCTACATCATCCTAACTTGATGAACTTAATTGGTTACTGTGCTGATGGGGATCAGAGGCTTCTTGTCTATGAATTTATGCCCTTGGGATCATTGGAAGATCACCTTCTCGGTAAAGTTCTTTTTTTGCTTATTCTGTTCATATTTCTTTTTGCTTTGTATGTCATTTGTCCCTTGTATTTGGAAATACTGTTAGATAAATGTGAGATAACAGCTTTTCTTCTAATGGAAATTATATCTTAGCACTATAAGATCGGAAGCGTTAGAAAACAATAAGCACACCCTGTTTTCTTAGTTACATTTAGAGAACTCTATGATAACATTTATCAAATTAAATACAAAATTCAGAGTAATTCCTTGAGTAAAGCAGTTCACCACAATCCAGTGCTTACATATGCCAGCAACCATAACGTACCAGAAGCCAATGGTGACTAAAATTTTGTAGACCTGCCAGTCTTGATGTATCAAAATTCCTGCTAAAATTGTCTTCCTTTTTTGACCTTATAGATTTCAATTGAGCTAATTTATTCTAGTTGCATGAATTTCCAGCTTGTTACTATCTTGGATGCTTGTATTCTCTTTGACATGAATTTCCCAAAATTCATACAAAAATTTTGTTCCTTTTTGTAAGTTAAAATATTCCAATTGAGCTTGGTGAGATTTTATTTTATTTTTCCCTTTACATGTATAACAATCAACATAAGGCCTACAAAATTTCTTACTGATCCTTCAAGTGATTCACTTCATTCTCAGCACGGTGCAATCACATGATCTATCGATGACATCTCACCCATTTCAACATGATATTACAATCGACCTATTGACTTGCCAGTCAATCTGTGTTTGATTCCACGAAATTAGACACTACTCTACAACAATTGATGCTCATCTCAAGCTCCAAATCTCAACTACAATTTAGTAAGAAGTAACGAGATGTGTTTCCTCTTACTTCTTACTAATTTTCCATTTAGAGTGTAATCAGTTCTGTGAAGTCATCCTAGTACTATACTAACTAACTTTATGATTAATACATCCTGTTAATGTATTCTATGACCCTTTTGTAACCTAATTCTGTGGGTGAAATTTTTTGATAATTCATGTAAAATGCATGTATCCACATCCTTTCCATTTCTCTGAATGATTCTGTTGCTCAAACAAAGAAGTAATAAAAATTTTTCCCCTCTCTGTCTCTTCATCATATGATCACGATTTGCTTGCCATCTCATTATGACAAAGAAATTGGATTTGTTAGTTGAAATCTACTGCTGTTGAAGTCCTGACCTATAATTTCTGTTCTTTTGGAAATTGCGACATCGCTAACACACACAAGTATGGGCATGCATTTCATGTTCATACAAATTTTCTTAGTTCATTCCTGAGTTGATTTCACTGTTAATGGTGGAGTTTGCAGATGAAGTTAGCCATTTGTGTTTTATGCTTGTAATTGAATATTATAATTTCACTAGCATGTCTACGGCCCACATTTTATCATGTATTCACAGTCTTCACAATCACGTTGTATGCCTTTTTTTCTTCAGATCTTCCGCCTGATAAAGAACCATTAGATTGGAACACAAGAATGAAGATAGCAGCTGGTGCAGCTAAAGGTTTGGAGTATCTCCATGACAAGGCAAATCCTCCTGTTATTTATCGGGATTTTAAGTCATCAAACATATTGCTAGGTGAAGAATATTCCCCAAAGCTCTCCGACTTTGGACTTGCAAAGCTAGGTCCTACTGGAGACAAGTCACATGTGTCCACCAGGGTCATGGGAACTTATGGTTATTGTGCTCCCGAGTATGCCATGACTGGGCAGCTGACAGTGAAATCTGACGTTTACAGCTTTGGGGTTGTATTATTAGAGCTCATCACTGGACGGAAAGCCATTGACGGCACCCAACCACATGGAGAACAGAACCTTGTCGCATGGGTTAGTCACTCAATATTTTGTATTTCTATAGTGGTGTCTAATTTCATATTCCATCTTTTTTGCAATAGTAGATTTCCTTTAGTATTTGTGTCGTTACCATGAGAATTTTCCATGTAATGCAGGCACGGCGATTGTTCAATGACCGTAGGAAATTCACAAAATTGGCAGATCCACGACTGCAGGGCAAGTATCCTATGCGAGGTCTTTCTCAGGCTCTAGCTGTGGCGTCCATGTGTACCCAAGAACAAGCTGCTGGTCGCCCTCTAATTGGAGATGTTGTCACTGCACTTTCTTATTTGGCCAATCAGGCGCATGATACTAGTACAGCTCCGGTGAACAGCTACAGGTTCTCTGGGGACAAGGATGATAACAGAAACAAAGATGAGCGAGGTGGAAAAATATTGAGGAATGAAGAGGGAGGAGGATCTGGACTCAAATGGGACTTGGAAGGATCTGAGAAGGATGATTCTCCAAGGGAAACTACGAAAATTTTGAACAGAGACTTGGACAGGGAACGTGCAGTTGCTGAAGCTAAGATGTGGGGTGAGAATTGGCGGGAAAAAAGACGACAAAGTGCCTGAGGAAGTTTCGATGGCAATAATGGGTAGTAACTTCATCCTTTATAAATTGTACAAGGCCCCCTTTGCCATCCTGCATATTGCATAGGTGATAGAAACATCCTAAAACTGTGCTTCAACCAAGCACTAGAAGTTCAATCTTCTTGTTGAGAGTTAGTTTTAAAACTCGTAAATAAAAAAAAAAAGGAACACAATATGGGCTTTTCTTTTGAAAATTTCATTTCCTTCTTTGCATTTCCAGATAAGGAAGAAGAGAACATTTGTGTGTATATTTACAGGTGGAACAATGAGTCAAAGAGTATTTCTGAAGGAGATGCTCGATGCTTCTTCTATGAAAAACAGAACCTGTAATTTTACTTGGAACATTTGGCGTCAGAATCATTTTACACAATACATAATCCAGGTGGACAACTTATTAATATCTATTTTGAGCTTGTTACTTGTTCGGTGTCTAATTATCTTATCTAAAAATTTAAACTGATTTAATTATAATGTTTGGTATGGACATCAGCAACAAATTTTTTAATAAATGTAAACTTATAACTAATTGAATTAACAGAAGGCGGAGAGCTCGCGCTGCAGTTTGAGAAGATATTTTGCTTGAATACTTCAGGAATAGATAGCCAACATTTAAAACAATCAGTGGTCTTGATTTTGACATCTCATACGATGTCAAGAAAGAAGTACATTTTCAATGTATAAATGACTTAATCCATGAAATTAATGTGAAAGAGACGTGTCTATAGTATACAAAGCATATATTAAGTTAGCTATGGTACTACATTAAGCTAAGTCAATACACAACAACTCCAAATATTATTAATGTTTATGTGTGTACGATTTGATAAACTATGTTTTTTCAGGAAAAATTGTTGGGAATGGCTCAAACTAGTAAATTAAGATTGGGACCAACGTGACAATTTTACCTGAAGCCCAGTAATTGTCGAAGGATAATGTTATCCACAATTCAACTCTGTAAATTTGAATGAATTGTGCTATAAATCGAAAATAATGATTAGATGACAAGATCAAGTTTTATGTCTGGACGTGCTTTCAGAGCATTACTATCAACTAGAGAATTTGGCCGAGCTTCTCGCTTAGATGTGGAGCTAGTACCAGGTGAGTTGGCGCGACTTCCCACCCTGGCTCCATCGGAATTCATAGGTTGGAAGTTGGAATCTCGTCATTCACCCATGAAGGAAGGAGATGAGAGGTTTCAAGTTTGCTTAAAAAAAAAATTCCAAAAAAAAGAAGGGAAAATTACCTAAAAACCTACAACTATAGACTAATTATCATAAATAAGGGGATTAGTTTAAATTTCAAATGTCAGGTGGTAATTAGGATTTATTAATTATAACTAATAAATATTTAACTCAAATTGAAATTAGATAAAAGATCGTAATTGTTTCAATTAAAATCTAATTACATCTTCGTTTTACACACACACACACACACACACTCTCTCTCTCTCTCTCTCTCTCTCACACACACACACACACACAATCATCTTCTCGAACTTGCATGACCATCCATCGGTAGTTTTTCTGTTCATTATCTTCAATATTCAAGAATCTCAACCTCGCGCAAACATCCTATTAATCAATAAATCTGCTATTATCACACAACCATTTACCACAAAATCGCCCCTATTTTTATTTATTTTCAAAAGTTACAAGTATTAAAAATGGTTTTAACTTGTAGCGTGGAGAACAAAAGGAAGAAAATGGATAAAGGTAAAAGGAGGAAGGAGGTTAAAAAATTCTCTCTTCGAAAGAGGGGTATGATGGGTTCGGGTGGAAAATCTTCGAAAAATGTGAAATAGATGTTTCTACTTTCAGTTTTGTTGTGCATTTGCTTTCCATTTAGCTTGTAGTGTATGAGTAGACTAATTATGGCACTAATCAAGTGTTGTGGCCTGAATTTAAACTTTGTGATATGTATATGATATAATCAACGATTGTGACTTGTATGTGATATGATCAACTGTTGTGACCT